TTCTATTCTATTCTATTCTATTCTATTCTATTCTATTCTATTCTATTCTATTCTATTAATTCTGGCTGAGGAATTCTGGGAGTTACAGTCCATACATCTTCAAGTTGTCAAGGTTGAGAAACACTAGGTGTCAAAGTTTACCAAACATCAGCCGTCCTCCAGAATCATTCTAACAAAATGCCAACCTTTGCAATGGCAGGAGATGGCACTATAGGTCCTTTTGGCTTGGAGGACCTCATACCCTTCAGCTGGCGCATTTTGGAAGCCTAATTTAAAACCTTTACGATGCTTTCCCTTTACTTCTCTTTTACCTGTCTTCTTAAAAGCATGTGCTCTTTTTTTGGGGGGGGGGGGGGGGGGGGGACTGGGGACGGTGTGGTTGTGTGTCTTTTAATAAAACTGTTATCCTGTTTTGGGTTCTGTGACTGTCCACCTTTGTTCTGGACCAACCAAGCTACTCTGATTTTCTTCTTGTAGTGGCTGTTTTATGAAGGAGCACTGAATCTGGAGACTTCCACTTAACATTTATGTTAAAGTTCTTTAAGAACACAAGGTTAGCCCCCATTCTTGGTTTTTTTCTGAAGGCAACCAGGGTCAACCATACTTTGACTTCAGTGAACAGGATAGGTCAAAGCTTGTAGTTCCTGTTATGTGTGTTGGTCTTAAAAAAAAAATTTTTTTTGTCATTTAATGACCCCGTAATCCCTTAAATTGGAGTCTGGGCAACTGAATGGAGTGTTTACTGGCTGGATGCCTTTCCTGTCACCAGTGCAGAGTCCGCAACAGATGTATTCTCATTGTGCCCAGAAAGAGAAATATCTGCCTCTACCTAGGATGGAACTCACAGTCTCCTGATTGTGAGAACTTCATTTCGAGGCCACCACACCAGTCGTGTGTTCGTCTTAAACCTTCCCTCTTATTTCAATCAATCAATCAATCAATCAATCAATCAGAATAAAGCTGGAAGGGGCCATATGGAGGTCTTCTAGTGCAGGGGTCACCAACCTTTTGGACTCATAATTTTAAATCCCAGCGACCACTAGCCGGTTCTGTGGGCATGGTCTAATTTGTGGGTGTGGCTTGGTGGTCATGTGACTGGCTGGGCATGGCTTGTATGTAAATATTATAAATATTTATATAAATATTGAATTTTTTATAAAAAAGAGCAACCTTTACCCAAAATCAGGCAAAGCAGCCAGGCAGATTGAGTTGCTCACAGAATAACAGATTCATTCAAAGATCTATCTATCTATCTGCCATCAGCTAGCTCAGTCTGTCACATAAAATTTGCTTGCAAGCAAACTCATAAAATTTGCTAGCAAGCAAAGTCACAAAATTAACTCACAAC